ACTGTGACAAAGGAGATGTATTGATGGTCTCCAGGCATTCCTATCAGGGTGTTCCTGGACACAATTCATCCTGCCCATCTGAAATGATGACTTAGGAGCTGGAAATCCCTATGAGGTAATCAGATCTTTGAAGTTTAGCTGGGAAAGCCTTTGGGTGTCCCTTGGAGAGCTCCAGGTCCTGGAGAAACACAGGGCTGGCCCTCAAGGGCATTCTTACATTTGGGCATGACCAACATACCTATGCAAAGGAAGAAGCTGAACTACAACACAAAGGCATTTTGCATCTGGAGGACATGTTCTGAAAGCAGCAAAACATCTTTGTTATGAATGTAACATATGTGGTACTCTCCCTCTGTTTGGCAGGAGATAAGAAAAACAGAAGCAAGGCAAAAATGAAAACAAAATGGAGCATATAGGCATCATGAAACAATTACAGTGCTGTGTCTCATTAGCATCTAAATTTGGGATTGCCAATCTTGTTTTAAAAACGGTTTTGTTCAACACTCAGTGACAAAATTTAAAAGCTGACATATCTGGCTGTATTGTGGGTCACAGTCACAGCTGGTGTAAATCAGTAAAAACTAATGAAGTCAATGGAGCTTCTCTGATTTACACTAGCTGAGGTTATGGCTCAATAAGGTTAGACTTGCTTTCTAGGAGTGTTCAAGGAAGCCAACTTCTGTGTGTCCTGTGATGAAGTGGTTATTTATAATGGCCTTCAGTGTGGTTTGGAGCCAAATTTCCACATCAAAAGTAGCTTTATAAGAGATATCCTTACAGTGAGGTTCAGTGCAAAATCATGACTTCAGAAGCCAGCTTTCCTCGTGCTCTCAGTATTTGATTTCAGCCTGAAAACCATTTGAGAAGCCAAGAAAAGCAGAGCCATTCCTGCCTACTTCCCCAGCTCTGCTTCATCTTTGAGTCGCCTGCATATCCAACAGGCCCTGACCTACACTGCCCATTTATCAAAGCGAGTTACTCTAAGTGTCTGTTTATTTATGTTCAGAAATTCCCAGTAAGACAGACAAGTTTCATGCTTAACCTGAAAAATTGGGGATGAAGGTGGTGTTCTTACCAGTTCCAGAGCTATTTGTTTGACTTGGCCACCAGTAAAAATAAAACACAATAACGTGTCCCAGAGACACAGTGAGAGATGAAGGTCACAAGGAAACAGATCATGTCTTTCACAGCTCTTCAGCTTCAGTGTACTGAATTACAACTCCTATTATTTACTTACTGGATTCCCCACCCTGTGCGCAGGCTCCAAGTATTGAAAAAGCAGCAGGTCTCTGCTTCAAAGAACTGACAGACTAAGCAAGAGAGTAAAATCTGTCCTGAAGCTACACCAACAACCTCCTCCTCCACTTTTTATCTGAAAGGTCAGATGGTCTCACAACCCTTGGCTGACTTCTGCCATCTTCTGCTCACCAGACTGCCATGCCTGCAGTCCTGCGCTTTGGCACTCTGCTGTGTTTAACTGCAAGGCTCTCACGGCATACACGTTCCAAATGCAGCCAAATCTGTCCTCCAGGCCCAGAGCACCAATGTGTTGCAGCTCAAAGCAGTCTTTCGCAGAAATATATTGTTTTTTCTTAGGAGGGCCCTGCTCCCTGCGCATCTCGCCTTGATGCAGTCTACTAGATGGTCAGACAAGGTCAGAGGCTCTTTCACTGACCTTTTCACTTGGACACAGACTGTCTTCTCTGGAACTTCTTGCTAGAAAAGGGTGTCTGGAGTTTGGTTGTTGAGATCCCAAACCAGGGCTGAAATGTCTCCAAATCTTCCAAGTAGTTTCTACACACCCTATCTAGGGTGCTGCTCTCTTCCATATTCTCTTCATTGGATTTAATCCTCTGTGGGCTCACTGGGGCCAGGGAGACAACTTGGTGGGGACACTTCCAAAAATGTGATCTTCTAAACTGACAGCACCAGAGAAATCCACACATAGGCTGAATATGGAACATCAGTGTGTAAAAGCCTGCCTCACATCTTATCCTCTTGGGAGATACCTCTTTCTCCTAAAAAGTCCAGGATCATCCTCCTCTTTCACACACTCAGGTTTTGGCTTTTGGTCTCTTTTCTCTCCACAAAAGATCTGCTAAATATTCGCTCATTAAGAGTTGCAATCTCCTTTTCCAGGGAATATTCCTGGTCTACCTCAGAGGTGGTTGGGGAACCTCATTCAGTTACTGTTTAGTCACCAGCTTCCCAAATGGGATGGTTTTTTCTAGACACCCAGCACACCAGCTGAGTGCTGCTTTTTTGAGTAGACAAATATGAATGTTCCTCCCTTATTAGAACTTTTTCTATGTAGACTTTTTTTTCTTGGTATCTGTGGCTTAATATGGAACCAAGGTAAAGTCAGAAAATAATTTCACAATTAAAACCATTGAGACACTGTTTCTGTTATTTGACATACAGATAGGCAGATACACTAAAGCACGACAAATGCAAAATACACCTCCTGCTCCGCCCTACACCTTGATCTGAGGACTGTGACTACTTATTCCTAAGAGTGGACTGTGTTCATTTGCTACTTTGGAGGCAAATATTGTATTTTTCTACTTAACATATCCCCCAAAGACCTATTTTTACCCCCCATTATATTACTTATATTCTCCTCAGAAACACCCCCACAAACTGCAGAAAGATCTACCACCACCACCACCTATCATGTGTGCTACATTTTCTTCTCACGTTGTCCAGGTGAAGTAACAGTGAGGTAGAGTTATGCTTAGGCTGGACATTGTTCAGCTTTTAAAATTGTTGAGGGCACTCATGAGTCTTTCTGCTTTCTAACTCAAAATCAAAATCAAAACCAGAATTCCTACCTTTTTTAATAACTTCCAGAAGCATTGTGTTTGGATGTCTCAAATCAAGGGAAATTCTCTTCACTGAGGAATATTTTAAAAACAGAAGTCTACCAGACAAATTAATTTCATTTCTGTTAACACCATCTCACAGCCTTTCAGTATTTCCCTCTAATTGTGGCTTTTAATGCACGTCTGTTCTTACTAGGGTTGAACTAGAAGGCACTCAGACAATTCTCAGATAACAAGCAGGAAAAAAAACAACGTAAACCCATTATCCCAGAGGAAATAGAAATAGTTATTTACGCACAAGTAATGAAACCGGTTTCCTCACCAGCAGAATGTATCCTGGACCACAGACTTACAGGACTTTCCTTGAATCTGGTTGGGGCAAAGACAGGAAACTGCATCTTCTAAACTTTAGAAATAGATCTTGAACATGTAAACATAAGATATTATGCCCCTATCTTTTAAGTAACATTTATATTATCTAAAATAAACAGTCTTTCTCAAGTTAGTCTGTAATTGACATCTGACACAGTCCACATTGCAACAGATATGATAAGTGCAGTAAACAGCAGAAATTATGCTTCTCTATGCTCTGAGAAACATTCATATTTCCTTACACAGATAAACTTTATTTTGTTGCTACGCAACCCTCACACAACACACTACATTCTACAGTAAATAAGAGTACAGATTTTACAACCGAAGGGCAAGCATGTGGCCTTTTGGGTTTTCTCCCCATTTTGAGTTCCAGCCCCAGCTTTAGTTCACGTTGTAATATTCCATCATTTTATTACAAAGCTGCCTCTAAAGCTCAGTAAGGGATATTTCAAACAGAGCAAAAAGGGAGAGTCAGAATGCATGAGTCCTCCTGACACTGATGGGAAACAAATGGTGGAGCCAGTGATGTCAGTGACAGTAGAACAGTGAAATCAAGGCTTTTTTTTTTTTTTTTAAATCCTCCTTAAAAATGAACACTAAATTTCCAGAACAAGATTTTCAAAACCTTTCCGCAGTGGCCTCTCCCTTCTCCCAGTAACATTGCTAACCTGTTACACTCCTGTTGTGGGTAAAGAGCCACCCTTAGTTTTACCCAAGATGAGATTAGTAGAGTCTTACCTCCTCTGCCTGCTCACTTTGGGTAGGGTCACTTTGCAGTACGAAGCTATTCCTTTGTTCTGTACAGTTACAAAATTTCTCCTGAATTCAGTGGGTATTTGGGTTGTTTGAATAGAGGAGCAGATCCTGTATGTGTGTCTATCCTCATCACAAGCAAAGTGAGTAACACTAACATTTATCTGTCTGAAGGGTGTCATGGAAACTGAATAGAGCCACTAGGATCTTCCCAACTCATGGGTTAATACCTCAATTACTCAAGTTTCTCTTTTGCACATGGCTGCAAATCCTACAAACTCTCCCAGGTAGCATCAGCCTTCACTTGCCACTGTCAGCAAATTAATCCAGGTGAAAAATGTGACTCAGAGCTCCAGCTGGGTGCAGTCAGCACAGTTTGGTGAAGGCAATAAGGCTACAAGGATCTGACCTATGCCTGATGCACAGATACAGTGGTTGTCTGATTACAAAGGCATTTGTGTCACTTAAGCAGCAGAACTTCCCCAATTTTGCTTTGCTGTTTAGTTCTTTACAACCTTTGAGTCCCTGCAGCCTACATGCTGCAAACCCACATGCTTATAAAGGAATAGCACTTAGTCACTAGGGAAATGACACTATGTTCATAAGAAAGCAAGATTTAATCTCCATGATCTACAATGTAGTTTCTCTAAACAGTGAGAAAGAAGTATCTTTTAAATTTCTGCATTGATAGTTGTTTGCTATCAAAACATTCCTGTTTATAGTTTCATTTTACCAGCTAAGTTACTTGCAGGCATGTAAATTAATATAAGCATTTGTTGCAAAACACCTTGAAGTTTCTGTATTGGCCTTGTATAATGGCCCATCTCTAATCACAACTCCCAGTAGAGCAGCTTTCCTTAAGAGTCTAGGATAATACAGAAACACCTGTAAAGTTCGCTTCAAGTAATTTCTTCAACTTGTGATCTCCTACAGACCACCCCTTCTCAGTCAGGATTGCAGGATGAGGCCCAAAGAGTAAACGTAGTTGCTTTTTGTCTGGCAGCACACTTTCTGTACAACAGGCAGCACACAAGGCAATAGTCTTCAGACCTAAATCTTGGAAAATGCTACTTGATGTCTTCGTATCAGCGTCCTGCCAATTTCTTCTACTCTCTGGCATCCTGGAGGAGAAGTTACATATCAGTTAAAAGCCCTGCTTTTCTATCCCGCTCTAAGCCGTTTCTTTTTCTATCCCATAGAAATCTACGTTCTGTCAGATGAAATCCCCCCCATAGTGACCAAGGGTTTGCCACCACTTTTCTACAGATTTATTCCTCTCCTAGTGAAAAATATTTTTGCTTGGATTGACTTCATCTACTCAGTTCCCCATCTACAAGACAGGGATAAAACAAGTCCTTTTGAAAGCTATGAGGAAATACGAGACAGAGGTGGTTATTATTGAGAGGAAATGTTGATGTCTCACCTGTCAGGGCCATTGCCAGGCGAAACTCTTCCTTCAGCATCTGGAGAACTTCTTTTGCTCCTTCTTCACCCTAGGAGATTAGGGGACAATATGCACTATTATGGGTGCATATAGCTCGTGTGTAATGCAGACACGTATACATGTGCCAATCAAGTTCAATGCACAACCATAACTCCTGAGTACTTGTCATAGCAAATTTTAGATTAGATGGTCTGGATACACACAGACACTATCACATGTGCAACACATATACACATACATGCATACACTAAGCCTAAACAGCGAGTCTAGATATCCAAAAACAGACATTTGAGGGTTTTTTAAACTTACTTGATAAACTAAGCCCCAGATGAGAGGTCTTCCAATGAATACAGCTTTGGCACCGAGAGCTAATGCTTTGAGAACATCTGTGCCTTTTCTTACACCACCATCTAGGAACACCTCCACCTTCCCCTCCACAGCCTCAACGATTTCAGGCAAGACATCAATCTAAAAGAGTGAAACCAGGAATACAGCTTGTCCGCTTCTGTAACCCTAATTATTTTTTTAAGAAATTCTTATTTCAAGGACCCAAGCTTTAAAAAAAATAAGCGAGCAATTGCACGCCTAACTGTATGCACAAATAAGCGAGTTTTACATTGAAAAACAGCATGTTAGCAGATATATACAAAGGTCAAATTTATTTGGAGAGTCACATAAATAGAATGAGAATCAGCAGGGTCACACAAAATGGCCATCTGATCCTGTGACACATTTCTGACACAAGCCAGATTCAGAGACTTCTGAAGAATATAAGAAACACTAAGCACAGCAGAGGCCTTCCCTTGATCTTAGCCCCAAAACTTCCAGTCTTCACTAGTTTGGGGATGAAATGGAATCACTGTCACTTTTTAAATAATCATCTTCACTTTATGGTTTAAATTTATTATTCACTTATACTAAGGTCCAGCTAGCATCCACGAGCCCAGAGGCAGGCGTTGTGCCTATAGACATGGAGTAAGAGAAAAATGTGCCCCAAGGAACTTGGAGAATTGACTGAAAAATTGTAATGAATATATTTTTCCTTTGTAAATGCATCTCGATTACAGAAATAATTCTAGAGGAAACTTCTTCATATAAGAAAAAATCAGCTTTCCTTTGAGTTTTGAGCAAGGTGGACAACATTTTCTTTTAATGCATGTGTACATTACTGTCACCAAGCTGTACTTATCCCCTACACCAGTGATAAAGATAAGGGGGAAAAGGATTTTTACTGTCACCAAGTTACAAATAAGTAACCAGGGAGTAACTAAAACGTCCACACCACCCAAGAGGTCCCAATGAAGGGATGACCTTCCTGAATTCAAGCCTCAAGCATTAATTACAGGGTAACTGTTCCTATAATGCCTAAACAGTTGCTATTCATGCAAATCAGGAAAGACAAAACTGGAAGCCAAGTACTAAGGAGACTGGAAACAGTGTGTGGTAGTAAGACAAAAGGCACACAAATTTATGTCTTTCAAATACGGATGTAATTAATTTCCTTTCTAATGGATAAAAATGACTAGGAGATGGAGGAAAAGACTTGAAAGTGCAGTTTGTTTTTAGATTTGGATTAAAATTTTCTTGAAGTTTGGCACTTGCTGTGATTTTTTTCCCCTCCCTTTGGTTTTGCTCTCTTGCCAAACATATTTTGGATCTTTTTCCATATACAGAGACTGCTTTCTACATCCTGACAAACTGTACCAACACTAAAGTGCTGTAATAACTAAAGTATGATGCAAACCATAATTAAAACATAGATTTCCTCAATGTGTAACTAGACACTAGAAATATTAACCAGCTTGGGCTCAGCTCACGTTCTGAAAACCCATGAAATTAAAGCAAATTATTATGTTCCTTAAACAGAAACATTTAGCATGATCCGATACAGATATTTACATTATGAAAACAGCATTGTGAAATATAGTTCTTCGTACAATGAAATCCAGTGAACACATCAGCTTTAATAGTGCCTTCTCCTCTGCACCGTTGCAAAGGAATAACTTGTAACAAGTAGCTTGCAAGCTTAATTTCTGTTCTGCTGCAGTTGGCAAAAAAATAATTCATATTTCTTCAGCTTTCTCATTTCTCAAAATTATGTTTTTAATATCCTTACACATTCTTCCTGTTGGATTAACGCACACACAGACTTGCCCAGTATTTTCAAATACTCTTAGTGAAATTGGGGACTACATTCTCAAAAGGTGACAAGTAGATAAAGACAACAGAAGTCAGAGTAGAAAAATTCATTTCAGAAGTATTAGGCACCCCCACACTGAAAATTCAGTTCTACTTAAGGTGTCTAAAACTGAATAGCTGCAAAGTCTCCAACAGCATTTCCCATTTGAAAACGAAAAATCTCAGTCTCTTTTGAAACTGGAGAACTCCTGGCATCAGGGGATCTTTTTCCTACCAGTCCCCAGGAGTACCTGGAGACAGTCAGGCAAGAGCATAGCAGAGGATAACACCTCAACTTCAAATAACCATTTAGAAAACCATTTGTGCTGGCATTTGGCTCCCTGATGAGGGTTTGGCTGGCAAAGAACCAGCCAACACAACCAGGAGATTAACGGGTCCACATGAAGACCTCTGAAAATCAGCTGAAGGAAATCAGCTGGGGAAATCCTTTGCTGCCCCCAAGAAGATAAGCAGAGAGCAGAAGTGCTCCAGGGGAGCAGGTGACACACCAGTGGGACAGCAAAGGCGAGCAGAAAAGACTGCACATGCAAAAAACTCCACAGTGAAAGAGGTCTTACCCGTCCCCCTCTCCCTTCAGAAAATAATTATGGAAAACAGGAGGATTTTCATCCAGGACACATTAGGAATACTGAAACAGTCACAACTGGGCTTTGATTCTCCTCCTTTTCATTCTCTTTTTACTTGTGCAGCTTTCCTGCACTGAAGGATGAGTGATGACTGAAATTTGGGGGGTATCCCTTCATCCTGAACACATACTTTTTCATTTTCCTTTACTTCTTTCTCTTTTGCCAGTTGAGAACTTCTCAAATCCCTTTTCACCTTTGGAAAAGGCGTGGGGTAGCACAAGAAAAAGGAAAAAACTGTAATTGAACTACTCTGTACCTTTTCCAAAGGTGAAAAGGTTTGAAAGGAGAAAAAGGGAGAGTTTCATTCTACCTTTTGCTGTTCTGTACCTGCAATTTTTCAGAAGTCTCTGAAGAATGTTAAAAGGGAAAAAACAACTCTAGTACAATCTCCAGTGAATTGCAAACAGCAACAGGGAGGTTTCATAAAAAAAAAAAAAAAAAAAGGATGTGAAAGGAGAAATAAAAGAGAAAACTAGAAAAAAATTCTTTAAAACTTCCCAATTTCTAAAAAATTAACTGCCAATAATATACTATCTGAGATTGCTGTTCTGGATTTCCATGCAGGGTGCTGCAGCCAAGGACAGGGTGTCCAGGTAGCTTGAAGAAACAGCCACATGTAAACCCTCCTGTGTTTTTTTTGGTTATTTGATCTGACCAAGGGGAGGCTGTGTCTAACTCAGAGTATGATGTGACATACATAGATGAGTGGAGAAAGATTACTACTCATAGATTAAGGCATATAACACATATTTACAGGTTTTTCCTCCAGCTACCATGTGTTCAAAGCAAACAAGAAGTCAAAAGGTAGAGAAAACCAGAGACTACTGGTACATATCGGCACCAGTACTTACAGTTGCAGGGACCCCATCAAGCTGTCGTGCTCCATGATTTGACACCAGGATACCATTTAACCCAATCTTTACAGCTTGCTTAGCATCATCAGCTAGGGAAAAAAACAAACAAACAAGATATTCCCTTCCATAACTGGGAGCTTATTGACACCACGATGAGGGAAATTTTGGCATCAATAAAGAAACATTGCCAGCTAATGCAAAGCCACCTTAGCGCTTCATCCTGCCAAAGCCCCTCTCGACACAGAAATCAGTTTTATCTTTAAGCAGTAAGACCAGAAAAGTAATTTGAAATGTTGGAGCAGAACATTTTACCACTTCACATTAGCAGCCACTTTGGTTGCTAGCCTTTGTTTTCTTTGCTATGTCCCACAACTCATCACTAAGAAATTATTTTGCTAGATTATTTTCTCCAAGCCAGAATTATCAACATGATTACAGCAATAATCCATACTTAACAAACCATTGTGCTCAGTGCTCTTTTGACAGAATAGAAATCCAGCTTTCCTTTAAGTTTTATACAACTCAAATCAGAGTTTACAGGCACAACAAACAGAGCGAGTTCAATCTTCCTGGCTGCATCTGATTTCAGATATAACTGATGTGATCCCAGCCAACCAACTCACTAGTTTAGTGACCAGTGGGCTCTGGTCCCTACCTACTGAACATCAAGGAAAACACACCCAGCAGCACAGGCATACAAACCATCTGACAGCTCCAGGTACTTATTTAAGCAGCTGCTTCCTCGAGTGTCTTTGTTGCTGGGTTCATAACCATGCATGAGGAAGAGAAGGGTTTTTTTCCCCTTTTGATTGTTTCAGCTCTGTTTTGGCAACTCTTCCCTAATTACAGTACAGAAATAGGAACATGTGTCCCATCGTATTATTCCCTATCAGCAAAGCGGATGCTTGCTGTTAAAAAGTAATGCAATTTTACAGAAATTTTCCCAGCACAAGCACTTTTCCTTCCCTGGTGCCTCCGCGAGAAGAGACACCTCACCTCCCCCATGGGAAGCAGCAGAGCTACACACCCCTGAGGATTCCTTTCGCGACAATGGGCAGCGAGGTCAGCCCTCGAAGCCATTTGATGTCCTCCCAATTGACGCTTGCATCAATCGCCTCGGCTACATACACAGCCAGTCCACTATTTTCGCCGAAGTCTTTCCCCGAGGAGAATGCCAGGTCACTACTTGAAAAGTTTTTTAATCTAAAACAACAAAAGATATAGAAAAATAGTCTGAGAAAGATTCATTATACCACAAATCAGTCCCTAATGCCAGCATTCAATGTAGCTGCGTGAAACCTTCGTTGTACCACTGAAGTCAAGAGGCACACTTCCTAGCGAAAATCCCGTTAGCTTTCATGCAGCAAATTTGGTTTTAGTTTTTGGGTTGTTTTTTTTTTCCCAAATCCAGGGAATTCAGCCACTGGAGGGGATAGGGGATTGGGTAGGTGGGAAGGGAGAAGAAGGAAGGGAAATTGTGTTAAGCTCCATGAGTTAGATGGATCTGCATGAAGCCTTGCAAAGAATTCAGAATTTTCATCTGTCCAACAAGACCAACATCCAGCCAGTTCAGCTTCTGTCTTTTTTTTGTATGTTTCCTTGTAAAATGTAGAGGGGCAAAATGAAGTTCGTATGAAAACATTAGCTATTATTTTCTCATTAGCACCAAATCATAGAATGGTTTGGGCTGGAAGGGACCTTAAAGATCATCTAGTTAATCTCACCAGTTGTAGAAACTGAATGCTAAATGACAGCCCCTGCACCAAAGAGTTCACAGCTTTACCAGACAAAGCAGGAGAAGGGGAAAGGAGGGCAAATAGAGAAATTCAGGCTGTGCTTGCATTGGAAAGCTGAAGCAGCCCCAAGCGCTCACAAACGCTAAACCACCATCAGTGACACCAGTACCACCAAGGACCCCCATGTCCCAACACAAGGCTGATTGCTCTGTTCTTCAGAAACTGTGTCTTGTTCCACATTGTGCTATTTTATACTCCTATTCCACATTTTGGGAAATGCACAGGGTTTGGGGTTTTTTTGTGGAAACTGGCTAGTTTCACTGCTGATTTCATGCCTGCAACAAGCAGCATTTCACACGGCTTTTCTGTTCAGCTCCGGGCCCAGAAGAAACCGAGAAAGGAGCAGGCTTCTCAGCAAGACCCAGCTTTTCAGCTGTTGGTTTGCAGAGGGTGGGGTACTCGGAGAAAAAACAGAACCATGGATAAGATTATATAAATAACTGTTGTTTTTCTTGGCCTGTGAAATGCAGATCAACACTTGAATGAATGTTGCCTTACATACGTTTCTGAGCACAATGGCACCTTGTTGTTGCTTTGAAACTTTGTTGAAAATCCGAAGCCAAGAAAAAGTTATCACATAACTGAGCAGAGCCTCACGCTAGGAGAGTTTCACCACCAACTCTGCAACAAAACACTGTCCGAGTGTCATTCTGAAATTTGAAGTGATTAATTGGAACCTTTAAAGATTACTCCAACTTCATATTATTTCATACGGTTCACGCAAACAAAACCTTGTTACGGTTCGGTCAGGTGGGGTCAAAGCGTTTCAGAAATGCTCTATTGCTTTCCTCAAATATTTTTGGGTTATTTGATTCATGTTCAAATACTCTAACCCCAGGCCTTAAAATGATACTGCCCCTAAAAAAAAATCTATTTAAAGAATTATTTTTTGTGGGTAAAATGACAGTGTGTACTAATAATGTTTTATTAGGCATAGATCTATAGCAGGATTACTATATGGGGTATATTTTCATGTTAAATTTGTCAGGGATTTTTTTGTTTTCTGGTCTTTCCCTGTAAGATTGTACTTTAATACAGAAATCATAGGCAGAGTTAAGGTTGCTCCGTCAGCCTTCATCATATTAACTTTTAGCTTCAAGTACAGGCGCATAGGTTACATCCAACACCCCAGTCTCTGGAGGGTTTTTTTTTTGCCTACAAGGTGAAGAATCAGATTCATTGCACATGAAATGGAATATTATGAAAAAGACGACAGGCTGCAGGATGTGTTATTCTATTTCATGCTATGTACATGTTACATATGGTATGTACATAGCATAACAGCCTTAGGGGACATATGAAGAATGCTTCACATCCACTAACAAAATTCAAAACTAGTTTTTACCCAGAACTCAAATCAAAGTTAATACACTTCAAAATACATTCAGCTATCCTTTATTTTTTTCTTTCCATCTTTGTGTTCATTTGCAGGTTCTAAATAAGAGCAAACACAGTAGTCTTAATATATGCCATGGCAAACTGTGGTCACTCCCAAGACCTACCTGCAAGATTCTTGCAGGATTTTTAGCTCCATTTTTCAAACCCAAATCCTGGATATCCCATCTGCTAAATATTCTTCCAGCCAGTCCTTGGCTGCTAACACTGTGCCAGCATATGTTTATCAGGGTGGTCTCTACAGTCTACCAATTTATGTTTGCAAAAATTTATGTAGTGAAATCAGCATCCTTACAACACTGCTGGATAAATTAAGAGCTGCATAGGCCCTGCAGTAGAGAGGAACTAGAATTAGTGCTGAAGTCAATCGTGAGGCCACAAATTCTTCTGAGATACAGAAAATGTCCCAACACCCCAACACAAGGGGGTAGAAGTTGCCCTCATGGAGAATTTAGAAAGACTGATACCCACGTGTTTCTGTATTTGAGCAAAAGAAGGGTTGAAGTTGCTTGAAAAAGGGCTCCGTGGTCAGCAGCAACATGGCCCTGGACCCAGTGCAGTGTCATAAGATAACAGAGGTTAGAAGGGACCATAATATCAGTTGGAAGGGACCTTTGGTCCACGTAGTCCAGGCCCCCATTCACAGCACAGCCAACTCTGCAGCAGGATCCATGTTCAAAGTCAGAGCAGGTTGTACAGATCTGTATCCAGCTGAGTTTTGAAGACATCCAAAAATATATTGACAGATGTACAAAGAAATGCCTCATCTCTCTAACTTGGTCAGTCTGCAGCCTCACGTTGCCTGGCACACAGTGTCTTTCGCAGTCTGCAAACAGCCAAGAAAGCCTGGTTTTGACCCAAAGCAGATCATAGCCCAAGCACAGCAAGAGATCAGTTCCCCAGTGTTATCGCCCAGCACAGCGTGTGGCACCTGGAAGAAATTCCTCGTGTGAGAAACAAATTTCCCCTGCAGCACCTCATGGTGACCATGGCACTGCCACACGCCCACCCCACATCTCAACAGTGAGCACCTACCTGAGGTGAGGAGGAAGCTGGAACTTGTTACGCACATCATCGATGCGCCTGCCAAGGAAGGGCGTGTCCACTGTCACAAAGATCCCTTTGTAGCCTGCTCTCTCCGCACGCTTCACGAGGGATTTGGTAACCTCCCGGTCCTTGTAGACGTAAAGCTGCAGCCAGTGAAGGCCAGTTGGAGCTGCTTCAGCCACTTCTTCAATGGTAGAGGTGGCCCAGGAGCTCAGCATCATCCCTGTTCCCATTGCATGGCAGGCTGGAGAAACAGAAAGTTATATTTAAGACTATCCAAAAAAACAGAGGCTCCTCTAAACAAGAGCACTTGGGTCACTAGTGTGTTGGTGCACGTAATTTCACACTGCCTTTCCTCAGTGTTAATGCGTTTTCAGCCTTCCAGGGAATGCTACATTAAGAGCAGTTACTAACAGCAGTGGGCTGCTGTGAGCACGCTCTGGCTTATTCTCTGTGTTTATAGGCAAATTTCTGGTGACAGCTGTCTGCACACTGTTTGGGATGATCCCTGCTCCAATACTAGAAATAAAAGATATTATAATCAAACTAAACCTAACCCATATTAATAATTCTTTATCCCACAGGAAGCCTGTTGGTAAGCCCCTAGCGTCTGGCTACCACTTGTCAGAAAATTTGGCACATACATTTAAGGACATATGCACACACGCAGTTTTAAATGATCTAAAAAAAAAAAGCATTTAAGGCTTCCAACTTTTTGAACACTGCCACATCGCTGCAGATCAGTGTTTTGGGTCTGTCATTCTCAACATTGCTCTTCACTCCTCCTCACCACTGCCACACACACTCCCTTGAGCACTATGATCATGGCATTTTGGCTGCTTTCTCCCACCTCTAAAATGTTCATTAGCATTAGACCTATGTTTCTTGACATGCTCTTCTAGCAAATTCCTGTTGTCATCCCTACAGAGTATTTCAGGGCATAACAAAACAGAAGGACACAGTCCAGCAGACCACCTTATTTAAGGAGGAGGGGAGGAGGGCAGCTCCACTGTTCTTTGCTTCAACATCTTCACCTCCTGTCTCTTGACCTGAAGGAGAGGGACCCCACATCCATTGTGTGATGCCACACATAGATCTTCACACTTCCGGCAATAAAAAGTAGAAGTTCTGATCTTGCTGAGAGTGGGAGAAACACATCCCAGGTGGCAGTGCCCTCCCAGGAGACCCCAAAAGTAAATACAAAGATGAGCCAGTACAACATGGTGGTCTCCAAAGTCTCCACTGAGACCAAAGGGATGGGTGCTCATGCCCCGTGTGTTTTGATCCCTCCTCTTTTACCTTCAAAAGCTGCAGAGTGAAATCAATCCTGCAGTGTGGGCAGCCCCAAGGTTAAATGTCATTGAACAATCCCAGACAGGGTCAAGCAGCCAGGGGCTCTGTGCCCGCTACCTCCCTGGGGGCAATTTCCTACCCGGGCTGCACTACAAACCAGCTAACCTCATACAATTATATTTTTATGAATCCATCACTTATTCTTTTTGGAGTAATCTGTCACTTAATGTAAAATAAAGAAAAACACACTGTAAAACTCAAAAATATTATATAAAGCCTTATGTTTCTTGGTCTACCACAGTATGCATATTTTTAATGTAAATGGACCTCTGTTTCAAAACATCATCTCCAACCCATGGAGGAATTAAAAAGTGGTCTTTATGACAACATTTTATTAAATAAGGATTACAAGTCTCTTAGAGTGGAAACTTATGAACAGCTTATTCAAACAAATTGGTTACACCCTCCCACAGCCACCAGGCAGATTTCAATCAGTGGAAATACAGTAGCAATGAACCAAAATGCTCCACATTTTAGCCGTTTGTCCCCTTAAAATTACTGAAAACAGTTCCCTCTCACAGATTAAGTACCTAGAAAAGAGTTTCTTCTGAAGAACCCATCTATACTGAGTGCCTAAAGTCCTGTTAAAATCAGCTGTGGTGGGTATCACAAATCCCATAATAAGCGATTAGCCAAATCAAGTCCATTAAGGGATACAAAGAAGCAAGAGATCCGCATTCCTGTGCTCTGTCAAATACGAGTTCGTGAATGAGAGGGAGAGTTGCTAACCCAGCAATTGCAAAACCCTCAGATCAGATAAGGGAAAAATATAAATGTTATGGTTCAATCTGCCTTTAGGTATCCATTTATTTCTGTTCTTACTTTTATTGTCAACTCTACCTCTGCAGCCCTAAGGACACAATAGTAGTTGCAAAAGCAAGAACGTAAATAGAAACTGCACAATAAAACATACTCGGTGAATGGAAGATTTAAAACATGAAATAATACCACATCCTTTGAACTTATCTGCATACATGGCAATAGAGAAGATGCTGCTTTCATCTTACTTAATCTTAAATTTAAGCAGTTTGGTTCAATCAGAGTTCAACTATCCCAAACTGGGGTTCGGTGTTTTCACAAAAGCACACTCACAAAAATTCCTCTCATCTATCCTGTGAAGTTAATGACTCTCTGGTAAAGCACAAGTTCAACACACATATTTCAGATCTGCACAGTCAAACTCAAAGTTCACACATGCAAAATTTTTCAAAGTTTTAGAGATTCCAAGTTCCAGTTTTAGTCAATCTGTGCTTCATCTTGATAATCTTTAGGCTTATTTTGACAATTCTGTAGACTTTCAAAAAACGTGATACATACTCCAGAAGTGTTGCCAGATTCTTTTTTTTTCCCACCTCAAATCAGGCTAAAAATATACTCCCACTTCTTGCACATTTAGCTGCAGCTGAAGAAAACATACAATTAATTTCCTCCAACAATTGTATTTTACATTTCAGTTTTGGGGTGCTGCAAATATTATTCTTACAAATCAGTATTGGATCCACGTTCCCATGGGATGCTGTTGCAGCAATATGTGACATTTGCCAGAGTTTAAACATCAGATGTTTGTAAACCAGCCTTTCCTCATGCCATTTCAGATTGCTTTTAGACTTCCCCCCGCCCCCCC